GAACGGAGAAGAGCCCACGAGAAGGCTGAAAATCTCTTCCATTTGATATATTGGGGGCCCAATTAGCTTACTTTTTTTTTTTTTTTTAATCTCATTCACGTGATTTTATATAAATAAAATGGTACTATTTTAAAAAAATTGTTATGTGGAAAAGATACTTTCAGCTCCAACATCCTCAATATTTGTTGGTGATTTTCATAAGTATACGGATATTATGACGAGTAATAAAGTATATTTATTAAATCGAAGTATCGTCCAATAGAAACTGGTATTTACTATTACTTTTGTAACTAACCTAACTTCAATTTTAAGTAAAACAGCAACCTATTATCAAATCAAATTAAACGGTAACCTAACAAATCAAATGACGAAATCGAATTAACACGATTGAGAAGATTATGAGGTGAGATAGTTAGAATTTCTGATTTCAGCATCTAATTCCAATTTTTTTCTGCCCGTTTTTATACGTCAACAATCGAATTAACATAATGTAACTAGTGATTTTTCTCGAGAAACACTAATCTCATTCATATACTCGAATTTACAATGTCTCTATATAAATTCACGCACATATGAATGTATTAACTTATAAGAATTCAATATGGATCGCATAGTATATAATTATCGATCAATCTCTTATAATATTTATATTATTTGTTGTACGAGTTAGAATCATATATTATCTCTAGATCTCAGTATTATCCCTAAATCAATAAATTGTTGCGTCTTCTCTTCTTTTTCCGCCGTCTGTATTTTATTCAATTCCAAAAGGAGTTCCAATTGAATTATACTTCTTCTCCCTTTTCTACTTTATTTTCCTCCTTTTTTTTTAATCCCATGTTTCCGCCAGCTTCCTCAAGCAAATAGGAATCCGTTTTCTGTGTGTTTGATTTTCATTCAAAATCTAAAAGACCAAGGACCCCTTTAATTAAGTTTTGCCTTCAAGACCTCCATGGTTTCTAAGGATGTAAGTTAGCCCCTTGAATTTCCAAAGTATAGACTTTGATCCCAAAGTTACGGATTTTATTCAATTTCATCCTTCTTGATCAATATTCGCTCCAATCCTAGTTTTCTCCTAACACAACATAAAAATACAAATAATTAAATATTAATATCATAATGATACTAATAAGAGTCATTTTTGGTGACTTAAATAAGTGTAAATTTAACACTTAACAATATTAATTCGAACAATTGGTTCGATCAATATAAATTGTGATTCTAGTCGCTAATTTGGATATTTTATATTACAGGTCAGAAGAGTCAAAGAAGGGGGACGAAAAAAAGGTAGGGTTCGATTTCTCAATTTTTTCTAAGAGAAAGTATATAAATGGTCCGATTTTGTGGGTTGGAGAAGTTCGTGCTTTATCTTTCGAGGTGGTAGGGTTTGGTCAAGGAAACTAGAAGGGAGGAATTGGGAAGGGCCTCACGAACAAACTTGGATCCTATTAAAAATAAAAGATTTACATAAAAAAATTGAAGTCGTGTTAATAAATTTGAATTGATTGAAAATTAAAATGTAACATGCAGCATGTGGGCTTATTGGGCTTGTTTGGTGGTTCTCTTTAACACCTTTGGACCTTTGCTATAACCCGGTTTGTGTGTTTTTCTTTGAATCATTTGTGGCCCTTGATTCAACCTACGGTTGAGATTGAAGTGGGTGAG